TAGTATGACATTTGGTCCCCTCGATGCCGACGCCCTCTGTAAGTCAAATTTTGTCCAATCAGACTACTGATTTGAGAAAGACAATCGAATGAAGTACTTTACCTCATTTGTGATGTGTGAATAAATGTGAACGAGGCATGTGACCACATTGACTGTAACACTCCTCGGCGCTGGAGGAAGCGGGGGGGGGGGTAGGAACGAACTGTGCGACGCGAGGCAAATTGTAGAATGAGATTATGATCGAGTTATGAGCTCCTAAAACCTCACGTCCGTCGTGTCTTTACGATCCTTGAAGGAGCCACATCTTCGTCGTTCGCTCTTGTACTTGATATATGTATGTGACATACAATAATGTAATGATGTCAATTCTTTTTTGTAATGCCTGATTTTTGTCGACGCGTGACATCAACACGATTCGATTCGCTAATCATTATATTCTCCCCTGGATGTTGCGCTGTCGCTGAGGTTTTTTTGTGGTGGAGGTCTTGTAGGAGTTGCTTGAAGTGGATTACATGATTGAAGTTTTTGGCGAGTTCTCATGTTGCTTCGCTTTCCGGTAGTCCATGCCATTTGACTAAGAACTCGACTTGACGGTTGAACGTTCTTTTCTTCAGGAGTTTCTCAACAATGTAAAGTTCGTCATCGGTAGCGTCATCGAGGATGACGGGTGTTGCCTTGGGAATCGGTCGTGATGCAAACTTGGGATCATTGTGCTTGCAATGCTTGAGTCGGTCTACGTTGAATTCTTCATGCAAACACGACATGGACTTGGGAAGTTTGAGTCGCATTGCGTTATCGTTGATGACTTCGACAATTCGAAATGGGACAATGAATCGTGGTACTAGTTTAGGTCGTTCGGCTTCGTTGAGTTGTTGAACATGCTTGAGCAGTAAATTTCTTGTTGCAAGTAAAACTTGGTCGTCCAACTTGAATGATACACTTGATCGTTTGCGGTCATAATATTTATGTGTTACGCATCCGTTTGCCATGTTTTACAACGACTCCGTCGATAGGAGCTCTTAGGAGTCATCAGCCTGTTATCCCCGGAGTACCTTTTATCCGTTGAGCGATTCCTTTGGTCTTGCTTGAGCCTTGCGTAAGTTGTCTTGAGCCGTCTTCAGGATTTCTTTACATTTTTCCGAGAAGTTATGAGCCAAGTCGTTTTTCGTCAAGATGTCTGTGACAGGATTTCGAAGAGTTCTGCCGGTATCGACTTGAAACGGCGTTAATCTAGTTGATGATTGTACGAGACCTTGGTGGGCATATTCGATGGTTGGTAAATGATCAACCCAATCGTCTCCAAGATATGAGACTTGGCATCGGAGAGCGTCTTCTAAGGTGCGGTTCTGTCTTTCGGTTGCTCATAGGCTTGTGCTCGACCATCTGTGGTCGTGGATTGGCGTATGTTCATGATTTCCATCAATGATTTCCAAAAGTTACTTGTAAACTTGCGGTCTCGATCGCTGATTATGACACATGGCAATCCGTGGTGCCTTACCACGTGATCAAAGAACAACTTGGCAGTTTCGGGAGCGTCGGCCTTCGTGGTTGTTGGAATGTACTTTCTTGTTTTGATAACTTGTCTACTACTACCAAAATTGCATCGCATGATTTTGACGTAGGTAGCCCTGTAATCCAATCGGCTGAAATCGTGTGCCAACATTCTTTCGGGGCTTGAATTGGAATCATTTTGCCATTCGCTCGCAAACTACTTGTCTTGTATCGGCTGCATGTTTCACAAGTTGCAACATATAACTTTATGTCTTCCATCATTGTATCCCAATAGTACCATTGAGCGACGCTTAGTGCAGTGCGTCGTGTTCCGAGATGAGCTGCCATACTAGGATTATGTGCTTGGTAGATGATCTCTGCTCGAAGGTTGTCATCTTTGGGAACACAAAGTTTCCAGACTTGATCTTTTGAACGGAGAAAGTAGAGTCCGCTTTTGTTGACGACTTTGTCTTTTCTTCTAAGTTGTTTGAACGCTGCATCGTTCTTGTATGCTTTGACGTAGCGGGCTTTTGTTGCTTCATCCATTTCGACAGTGGTGTATGAA